AAGTTTATGCTCCAGTTAAAATTGGAACCAACTAGAAAAAATTTTAATTGGAGGAAAAGTCGGTTGATAGTTAAGATAAATTATAATATTGTTATTTTCTGACCAACGTTGATGATAACAATATTATAAGTTTATTTATGAGTTGATAGTTAAAGTTAAATTATGGTATTGTTATTTTCTCACCAACGTTGATGATAACAATATTATAATTCTATGAGTTTTATGTTTAAAGTTTAAATCTCTGATAATTTTGCATCAAAGTGACCAATTTTCAGAGAATAGATAAAGATCAAGGAATGCTCTTAAACTAGAAAAATGTATTTTCATGTATCCGCTGCAATGAAGTTGATTGTCTTCTAATTAAATTTGAACCAACGGGAGAATTTAATTTTGAGGAGCAGTTCTATGTTTTCAAGATTATTGAATTTCTATACGTTAATTCCATTTCTGCCCAACGGTGACGTGAAATTAATGTAGAAAAATGATGTTTTATTCTATTTCTGCCCAAGGTGATATAGAATAGAACATAAAGATTTCAAAGTTTAATGAGCATTATTGTTGAATATTTTTTCAGACAAAAGACTTCCATGTTTTCATTCTTGAAGGCAGTAAGAGAAATAAGCTGGGTACTTGTGACTCAGATGATAAAATGCCTAAGGGCAAGTTATGTATGAAAGAATGCCATTGCTTAAGGGACTGTGTTCTCTTTTAAAGAATGACTTCAAAAGAAAAGCATTTTAGGAAATTGATTCAAGAAATGAGATAGATCAATGAGAGTCCTCATTGAGAAATGTCTTTTATGTACTCTCTGTGAAGAAGAATTTATTTTCAGTTTCACTTATGAGAGTAGTAAAAGTCACATGCATGTTTAATTTGACCAATGTCAGATTAAGCATGTGTATTAAAGAGTATTCAGATTTATTTCTGAATTTGATGATTGAACACGAGTCAATCCTGGCAATTATGTTCGTTCAAGGGAATTATCTCGCATGGCGGGAAAAATTTGTGATAGTATCCGCATGGCGGGAAAAGTTTGAGAAAATACCTGCATGGCGGGGTAAAGTTGGCATAGTACATATGTTAACCAATCCTGCATGACGGGGGAGTTTGGCATAGTACTTATCCCGTATGGCGGGAGAAGGATATGATGACTCATATGCTCTCAGTGTATTTCGCACTTGGAAAGAAGTTTGTGGTAGCTCTTATGCTATCCTAGAATTAATCGTACACTCTGATTGTGTCATGGTCATTAAGTACTCAATGAGTTTAAGAACAAAAGAAAGTTGCATGTGAACCAAAAGATAAGAATGATATGCAAGCGTGACTTGCAGAAGTATTGATAATAATAGACTATGTTGAGTTTTGAAGTGTAATGAGAAAAATGTACTCCCATATGAATTTTGTTTGCATGATGTAATCATGTGGATGAAGTGAGTAATCAAAGTTACCTCATTCACAAGAGTTTTGAATGTTTCGAAATTGTGGTAGAAAAGTTCATACCACATTTCGAGGGGGAGAAATGTAAGATTAATTAAGAAAGACAATTAAGAAAGATACTTCCCCATACTTCAGATAATGCAATGCATACTATGCATTGAAGGTAAAAGTGATCTATAAAAGATGAATGTGATCGTTGAGGGAGTAAGACGGTCATAATAACGATACCCCTAAAGTAAAGAAATAGCTAAATTCCTAGACCTTTTACAGTTCCAATAGGAAGATAGCATAGTCGGCTAGTATTCATACTGGACGAGTTCAGAGTTATCAAGGCGGTGCTTAAAGCACCATTCGAGTTTTGACAGATTAAACCCAAAATAAGAAATTTAAAGATACACCATCTTTAAAGAAGATGGAGTAATCTGGGGGAGCATGGTATGTAGATACCTAAGGCTTGAATAGAAGTGGAATTACATATCCACTACAGTGTTTAGAGCAACAAATTGCTTAATACATGTTGATGTTGTATGACATATACAACACCTGATGTTAGCTCTTAAAGAAGATGAATAAGTAAGCAAGGATCTTGTGATACAGGAGGCTATAGAGCATTTGCCTTTTGGCAATAAAGAGCAACAATAGCCCCATCTGAAAGAAGTGCCTGGAGACCCCAGAAGGTCTCAAAGAATAAGAAAGAAATTCAAATGGAGGATAATTCCACCTCATTTGAAAAGCCATGAGAGGTGTTCACTCGTCTAAATGGCAAGAAGCAAAGGAAGATGAAATGAAATCGATAAATACCAACGATGTTTGAGACTTAGAAAAAATTCTTAATGGAGCCAAAACAGTAGACTGTAATGGGTCTACAAGACAAAGGTGACTCCAAAAGGAATATAGAAAGATATCAAAAGAGAATATTGAAAGCTACAAAACGCCACTTGTGGTGAAATGATTTACACAAAGAGAAGGAATAGATTATAATAAGCATGCAAGAATTCTTTTAGAATCATAATGGTGTTAGTGGCACATTACCATTTACAGTTACATCAAAAAGATGTAAAGACACATTCCTCAACGGGGATTTGTACGGAAAAGTTTACATGGCATAACTCAAAAGGTTTTGCCGTGGAAGGAAAAGAATGTAAGAAATATTGTCTGAAGAAATCCTTTTATGGATTAAAGCAAGGTTCAAGACATTGGTACTTGAAGTTTGACAGTACAATAAGAAAGTTTGGGTTTTAAAGAGAATGTAGAGGATAATTGTATTTATGCAAAGTTTTAAACATGAGAAATTCATTTTCCTAATCCTGCATGTGGGTAGCACCTTGCTCGCTAGTAGTGGTGTTAATCTACTGTTGGAGAAGAATCAGTTCTTGTCCTCAAGCTTCAATGAGAATGGTCTTGGTTCCAGAAATTGGAACTTACCGAGACAAAAGGAAAAGGGGTATTAGAACTATCTCAAATGTATGCTTAGAGAAGATTCTAAAGAAATAAAGTATATATGTGAATATACCTACGCCTGTTCCTATAGTCCAGAGGGTGCAGTTTTTGAACTTTCGGTGTTCCAAGAACGAATGTGAGATCGATCGAAAGGGCGTCCTATATGCTTCAAATTGTTGGAAGCTTAATGAATGCTTATAAGTAAGAACTTACCCCGACATAGTTCATGTGTCCAAGGATGTTTTGGTGTAAGTCCACTCAGATATAGATCAACTTTGGAATAGAGTTGAGAATGTTTTGCAATTGTGCAAAGATTTATAGGCCTCATGGTGAGTAAGAAAGAATAAGTACTCTCAAATAATTGTGGGTACAAATATTAAATTTTGGCGAGATGTTTAGTGAAACCCATATAGTAGCTAACACACTCATGAGCTTGGAGTTTTATTGTGAAAAAGCTCCAAAGAAAGCAGGTTATGGTGTCATCAAAGATGCATACCCACAGTATAACTTGATATGAGGCTTAAAGGACAAAAGAAATAGTTAAAAGAACTTACACCCGGAATTGATAATGGTATACAACAGCAAATAACTATTTAAGTAGTTCACTCCTATAACAACGGGTCAAGTGTCTTTGCCAAACACATTGACGTTAAAGTTATATCGTTATGAAGGAGAAAGTCCAGGAATCATACTAAAAGTAATGAACATAAAAGTAACAAGCAAGTGCTTGCGGATCAGCGTACAAAAAAACACCACCCGGTGTGTTTAGAAAACACACAATCGACATGGGTTTATGGTATAGCCTATGATTTCGAACAATAGAGGGCCCAAAGTTAAAGAATGCTTTTTAAGCAGAGCGTGTATTAGGTATTAAATCTATCGGCGATTGACCCGTGACGATGAAGCATGCTCTATGCACTAATCTGTGATGGAACAAATAAAAGCGAAAGGGATTAAAGTCAAAGTTTAAAGTTAAAGTATGAGTTGAGATCAAGGGGGAGAATGTTGGTTTGATCTCCCAACCACAGTGGCCCAACGGCCACTTGGGCCTTGACCTTGCGTCCTGATCGGGGGCGCCCAGTCCATTTATGGCTGGCGGGCTCCGTCACACTGCGCATTAAATAGAGGTGGGGTCGACGGCTCTCGGTACGAGGTTCGCCTGAGCCGTACGCCCCACCTAGAAACCCTACTCCGATCTAACAGAGAGGCGCAGCCAGTGACGGGAAGCACCGCCGCCGCCACGCCACTGCATCACTATCTCCACTGCGTCGCCTTTCTTCACCGACCGTCGCTGCCCGTGTGCTGCCTCCATCAACGAACCAGCGATGACCGGATCGAGCTCCAACTCCACAGGATCCACTGGTCTGTGAACTCCTCACACCCCTCTGTCTCTGTCTCCCTTTTCGGTATAGTGTTCTAGTTTATATGTGCATGTGTTATTCCGAATCCATGTGTATCCCTCTAGATCCACTACTAGATGATCTAAATGTTTTAACAAGTTCTCATCTTTTTGTGCGCAAAACATACTACAACTATACCTGTGATGGCAGACGTTTTTTTTTTCTTTCTGTTCACTAAATGCTCTTCTTCCAGCGGTTAAGACTTTGGAGCAGAGGGACAATCAGCTAGCAAAAGTTTTCCTACCTTCCTCCGATACTAGTTCAATTCAGTAACTGTACACACGCCTAGCTTTAACCCGATTGCTGCTCAGCTCAAAGAAACCTTCGTAATGGTACCATGAAGGTAAAAATCGTAGGATGAACCACACAAGGAACTGTGAAGCACAGGCAAGAAATAGTCGAGAAAGGAAGCACCAAGACGGCGAAAACACGTGTTTCTCCCTGCAAATCATGGTGTTAGAACTCGAGAAGAAAGCACAGCATCGCCGAAGGCCGAAGCGGTGCAGAATTTGCATTCCAAATCACCAGAAGCCGGGGCATCTCCAAGCTAGCTGCGCATCAATGCAAGAATCGCAGAACGCACGGCCACACCACACCACCCTACCATCTTTCTTCCATTACACATCCCTCTTCTTTATCAAAAAAGCCAAACCACAGGGGAGCCGGGAGCAGCCGCATCCGGAGCAAGAAACCCAGTTGGCAGCGGATCGGCCGGACACGGATTCAGCGTAGCGCGCGGTTGTCGCCGGGGACAAGGACGAGGTCGGCGGCGGCGGGGGCGGGGGCGGGGGCGGAGGCGGAGGCGCGGCCGTCGTCGAAGTTGAGCGCATAGCTGAGCGCGTCGTAGTGGAAGCTGAACCTCCGGCCGCGCCTGGCCCGCTCCGACCGCAGGCGCCGCAGAACCGCGCGCAGGCGCCAGTAGAGGCCCCGCACCAGCCGGCTGCTGCATCCCCGCCCGCTTGCCACCGCCACCACCCCCGCCTCCACCGCCGCCACCACGGCCGCCATCCCCCTCCGGCTCTCCCCACTCCTTCGCGCGCACTCCCGCCTAGAATCTAGTACTTCTCCACTCTGCTGCTTTGCACCACTACGACTGTGCAGTGGTCACTGGTTGGCCGGCGCATAGGACTTGGGAGGAGGAGATGGCGAAGCGGGGAAAGGCAGAAAAGCGTGCTGCTACTATATAGGAGTAACGCCGTCTCTCTGCGCTGCCATTTCCGCTTCGGCGCATCTTGGCTCCGCCCGACTGCGAGACGCCGAGACAGCTATAGGCGTGTTCGCCGCTTTAGCTAAATAACATCATTTTTTTATAATAAATTAGCATCAGTATCCGCATCGGTCATTTTTCAACCGATCGAACAGGGCGATAGGTGCCTCAACGGACACTATGCGCTCGTACGCTCGTATCCGTCTTCCGTGAGACAGAAGGCAGTGTGGCTCCAGAGTAGTATAATAATAAGTACCATTGCACACCTTAGCCTTATTTGGACGTGATAGGATTCATATAATCTATATGCGTTGGGATAGATGGAAGGACTTGACTAAATTTCACGCCAATTCATCTCAGCACATGTGGATTGAGATGAATTCGATATCATTCAAACAAGGTCTAAACTGGATGCAGGTAGACATGGACTTGAAAGTATAGCATGTATTCTCCATTTCTCCCTAAATCCAAAAATATTGGACTTCTAACGTTCAAAACTTGTGCACAGTACAAGTACTTCTAGGTCATGGAGGACGGACCACCTAACAATAGAAAAATACAATTCTAGATGTTCTCTATTGAAGTATCTGAAGTTTGACCGGTTTTTTAGCAAAGATATAAATATTAACACTAGAAAGAAATTTCCCTATAAATATATCTAATGACAAATCTAATTATTTATTTGATATCATAAATATTTATATTTTTTTATCTATAGTTGGTCAAATTTGATATCCTTTAACTAGACACTATTCTATAATTGCATTCTTTTGCGAACAAAGCGAGTGCATTATTTTTGCTATGCATCTAGAAAAAGTTTTAGCTGATAATGAAATTCAAATTTTTATCTTCAATTGAGAATTCAATTAAAGAGAATAGTGAAATTTGATTTTAGATACATTTATTTCAAACGTATATTTGAATCGAGTATGGATACGTATTAAGGGTGCATTTGGGAGGGTGTACGTATTAAAGGTGTATTTAGGAGGGCTTCTCCACCCTGCTCTGCTATTGGAGCCAAGCCACTTTTCATGGCTCTGGCTTAGCTCTATGATTTGACGGTAAGAAGCGCTTCTCCACGCGCAGGCATTTGGTGCGGCTTCGTCTGCTCCAATGCCAAAGCTGGTGGAGAAGCCTGTGGAGGAACCACACCAACCGGACCCATATGATTCAAGTTTTAGTGGATATTGAATAATTCGAATTCTCTGCTATTCATCTTTTTTCAAAAAGAAGTTCCGTTGTTCATTTTCAGCGTTCCACCCAAGCCGCACGGACATGAACACATGGCTAGAGGTACTGGTTGCAGCAAAGCTGGCCTGTGGGTCACGTGGGTGGACCGTCGTCAGTCCGCCGGTACAGACGCATTGTGGCTGGCCGCTGGCCGCTGGCCGCTGTGGATTGGCGAGAACTTCTTGCGGGATTCCCATCTGCGGCTTGGATTCCCGGGCCACAGTGCTTGGATCTTTATGTCCCCTCCAGACTCCAGCCCCGGTGGCCGATGCAGTGGACAGTGGACTCTCGTCTCCTCGGTCTCGTGCCCCTCGTCGCCATACCGGCGTGCTACTCCTTCCTGCTCCTGCCACCACGGAAGGGGTTTTACCGGTACGGCGGTACCAGGCCGGCCCCAGCGCTACCGTGCCTGCTGATGGATTGGAGTCCTCGCCTCTGCCTCTGCCCCAGTGTCCGGACCGCTTTTTCCGTTAACCTATCTCTGCCTGTGCGCCGTGCCGTCCTCGCCTGCGCCTGCGCCTGCGCCTGCGATGCGAATTGATTGATAGCGGGCACGAAAGAACAGTTTACGAATTGAAGGATCGGCAGCGAAATAAACGGAATTGTCAATTGTGTCCACGTGTCACGGCAGCACAGCAGCTCCTACGCCGTGCATTCAGGGATGCCTGCGCTCACGGGCGCACCAGTTGTTGGCTGTTGCGGTGAGGCGGTGACGGTGAGGTTTCAACGCCCGATCAGACGGTCCTGTGCAGTGAAGTGCTCGTCAGCATTAAGACGGAAGCCATCGGCAATGGCACTAGCAGAGCAGCTACTGCTCAGTTTATTTGTCGTTTCCACTTAATCTGGCTGGGGCGCTGAGATCAGGCACTGACGGGCAATTCATTCGATGACTTAATGCTGCTTAACTGGAGGCCGATTGACACCCTGTTTGCTTGATCATTTATGTGGCTTATAAGTCGGCTGATACTGTTTTATTGTGAGAGAAAAACACTATATCATACGACCAAGCGAACAGGGTGTGAAACCATGATCCACCGATTTTTTTTTCTTTTTCTTTTGGGACACATGCTGGAATGACTCGTGAGTCGTGTGTGTGACTCCCAAGACTCCAAGGTGCATTCGCTAGCTGGTGCTGCGGAATGGCAATCGGATTCAGACGTCGTCCGTCGTGGACTCGTCACTCGTGGGGCACAACTCACAAGCTCAACAGCTTCTCTGGCTTGTCCAGTTGAGACTTGAGATGTTGATGTTTCAGTAATGTCAACTCTAGCAGGAACTAGTCTGACCTCTGCGTAATTGAATCGATGGCCACCAGTCCATCACATATCCACGGTGCACTCCGTAACGCTGCACTTTCAAGAATCAAGGACGTGTACGTATATGGTTATAAACCAAACACGCGCCCTAAGACTATGCAAAGGGCAAGCAAGAAATTTCGGTTTACCCTACTGCTCTCGTCGAACAGAGAAACACAAATATCTACAATGGTACACAGAAATCAGTCGGAAGATCTGCCCGATCAACGAGATAAGAGCAAGTTGAACACAAAAAGGCAGCAAAGGGTTCCTTCCTGAACGCTCTTCACTAGTCAATCCTTCCTGCGCGTGCGGTTGCGGCCGTTGCAATCAGCCAAAGCGAGCATTTTTTTTTTGTTGTGGCTACGATTCGAGGCAAGAATGTTGTTCAATCCCCGTTAAGGCCGTGTTTAGATACATGCGTATTCACTTTAATTCATATGTATTGAAGTGGAGTGAAATAAAACTTAGTTTAATTACACTTCAATCCACTTTAATACACGTGGATTGAGACAAATAAATACGCATCTTGAACAAGGCCAGAGGAAAGAAGATTCCGATATTCTACGGCCAAGAGTACGACTGCTTTCACATGCCAAGTCATTTGCACGTTCGCTGCTTTTATACATTATTAGTAGTATACTCCTATATGTCTCGAGGCCACTCCATGGTCTCAATTCTCAGTGTGCGTGGCTCGCCTCCATTTCAAAGTGTTCCAGCCAACCTTTTCTTCTGAAATGCTTCTGATCTGATGATGTCCATGTCCTGGTTGGTCCGAAACTTTTGGTTGTGGAAGTCAGGATCGTTTGGCGATCCGCTTCGTGATCCAGCAGGCCAGGAGCACGAAGGTGCACTAAAGATAGAGGAAACGATGTGGCGATTCTGGGTGGAAGCCTCTGCGTATTTACGTGAACAGTGTGGCATTTATCGTGAACGAAGAAAGAAGAAATTCCTCTGGGGCCTTGTTTAGATACTCTCAAAATTTCAAGTTTTTTCACTCTCTCTCCATCACATCAATTTTTAGCCGTTTGCAGGAGCATTAAATGTAGGTAAAAAAAATAACTAATTACACAGTTTAGTTGGAAATCACGAGATGAATCTTTTGAGCTTAGTTGGTCCACGATTAGACAATATTTACCAAATAAGACGAAAGTGCTACTATTTATCGATTGAAATTTTTTTCAATCTCAACAAGGCCTGGATTCAGGAACATTGAGATAGATGGAGGAGGAAGGACATGCACTGCTGGCTGTCAGATGAGCAGATGGAAAATGGAGTACTCCTCCTCTAGTACGACGACGACGACGCCTGGTGTACAGGTAGGGCCAAGTTCAGTTGCCAAAATTTTTGGCAAAATGTTGCTATAGCATTTTCGTTGGTATTTGACAATTAGTATTCAATCATAGTCTAATTAGACTTAAAAGATTCGTTTCGTGGATTTCGTTTAAACTGTGTAATTAGTTTTATTTTTTATTTATATTTAATGTTTCATGCATACGTCTAAAAATTCGATGAAATCTTAAAAAAGGTTTTAGAGTAGGACTAAACAGCCCCTAGGTTGATGGATGGGAGGTTTTGGTTCCGACTCCCCATGGCCCATGGGGTCCGGCTCGTGCGCCTGGGCAAAAGCGGCAAGAGCAAAGAAGCTCCGCTTTTCGGGTCCGGCCGGCCTGGGATTGGGAGTTGGGACCATGGGTGCCCGTGAGGCCGTGACACTGTGTGCTGCGCTGCGCGCCTGCGAGGCGACGGCCGGCCACTTGGGCGTGCCGGGAACCGGGCCCCCGGCGGTTGGATCGCTGGCTCCACCGCCCAAATCCAGTCCAGATCTGGCGCTCCCTTCCACTTACCCGCTTCCCAACGGCATTCAGGTTGATGGATCGACAGCTTTTGCCTGTGATACAGTTGGTGAGTTGGAGCTCGGCGGCAGCCGTATGCATGTTCCGGTAGAAAACCCATCCCCTTGTCCTACGACGGAAGCAGGATCGGGAAAAGAAACTGACGGGCAGGTAAAGAAGGGGGGTAGCAAAGGTTAGCGTACGTGACAGCAATGTGCCGAGCGGGCAAATGTGGTCCGGGCGCTTCGTGCCACGGCCCACGATACATCCGTGTTAACCAATCGACCGTCCTGAAATTCCGCACCAGCTAGCTTGTATACCGCTGTACGTAGGCGCGGAGCGTACCCAGATTGCCAGCCCGTGATTTGGACCATTTTTCTACACATATATACTACATGTAGAGTACTGTTCTCTCCTTGGGCGCCTTCACACTACCTCTAA